GGGGGGGGGGGGGGGGGGGGGGGGGGGGGGGGGGGGGGGGGGGGGGGGGGGGGGGGGGGGGGGGGGGGGGGGGGGGGGGGGGTGGGGGGGGGGGGGGGGGGGGGGGGGGGGGAGGGCGGCCAACCTTGCTCATCGTCAGGACCCACTGCCGGTTTTAACATGAACGTCACCAGTTCACCCACAGATCCCCACGTCCCAGGAGCCACGGCAGCCCCGTGAACCGAGACACCGCCACCAGGAAGCCACTGACCCGAGATGGCCTTCACAGGGTGCCTTTGAAACAGAAATGCCTTGAAAGTGTGTTGCCCTGCAGTCAGTGCTCCTTCAAGGTCAAATACAAATACCCAGGGTTTGCACAGAAGAGAAGCAGCGTCTCCTCTTCCCTTCTTGTCCGTACAGAGTATTCCGGGGAATTTTAACTTAAACCCTTAAACAGAACGGGCTTGTTCAGAAACCGGATAATGTCCTTTCTATCTGGGCAGATGAGAAGTGACGGCCAACTTTCCCGGAGATGAGTGTCAGCTGGTTAAAACACACTCAGTAAAAGGCAATCTTACCTCAAGGGTCGCATTCATAAGGAGAAGGAAGCTAATTTCCCTTGGCCTCTGGCCTTTGAGCAGATCGAACTTAAGATGCAGATCTCGGGGCCACGAGACACACCCTGCTGACAAGCACATCGCGGGGCGTGCTCCGGGCGGCAAGCAAAGCCGTGCCATCTAGTGGGGCTCCAGTCACCTTTTTTTTCTCCTTTTCCAGTTCCTCTGCCTCTCTTTGCCAAACCGTCTTCATGTCAAAGTCGAAGGGCCCCCTTCTGGACTCGTAGTTGCCACTGGCGTGATCGGGGTTAGGCTCTTCATAAACCATGTAATCCGGTATGGACACAGCGGGGACCCTGCAGAAACGGACGGAAGGGCCCCGGCCCGCGGCTTAGGGCCACCTCCTGACCTCCCCTCCCAGCCTCCCTCCTTCCCCCTCCCCCCGCCCCAGCACCCAGCTCTGACCTTCTCCAGTCCCCGCCCACCCACACCCCCCTCACTTTCTGGGCTCCTGGTTCTGCTAGGATAAAGTCCAGGCCCTTAGCAGAGGGGGAGGGAGAGAGGGGGGAGGGGAGGGGAGAGGGAGGGGCCCTCCGGGATGCAGCGGCGGGGAGAAGCTGGGCAACCAGCCGACCCCCAGCAAGGACGGGACGGAAGAGGGCGCCCAGCCTCCCGGAGACAGTGGGCTGTAGGGAGGCGGCGGGCGGAGAGGCCGGGCGCGGAGGTCAGAGGCTGGGGACGCAGGCCTGGGCGGGGCTGCAACGCGGGGGTCAGGATACTCACTGCCTCCGGTCGGCCGTCGGCGGCTGGCTGTGGTGGACGTACCAATCTGGCAAGGAGTAGGCCACGGGGGAGCCCTTACTGGTCCCGGGGGCAAAGTGCTTCAACAGATCTCGAGGCCAAAAAGACACGGCTGTGAGCGGCCTGCGCATTACCAGCGGGCAGGTCGCAGCGACAAGGGGACCGGCTGTCCTCCTGGACTCCACTGGGCCGGGGGGCAGCACGCCGGGGTGTCCGCGGTCCTCACCCGCCAGTGCTCGTGCTGCCTGGTGCCCAGATGACATCCCTCCTGCACCCCTGCCCCGCCGCCGGCCACCTCCTCCCTGTCTCTGGGGGGAGGGGGAGGGGTCCTTGCTCCAGGGCGGTATCTGCGGGGACAGAACTCCTCGGGCCCCCCGGGGGGCTGCGCCCTGGCTCCTCTCTCTGGCCAGGACAGTCTGTACTCCACCCCCCACGCGGCAGTTCTGGGGTGAGCCGCCCCCTCCAGGTTTCCGGTGGGAAGCGGGGCACCGGCCCCTCTAAATCCTGGGGGCAGGGGTAGTGTTAACCGGTGCCCCGCTTGGAGCCAGGCTGAGAGGGTCAGAGACGCGCTCGGGCTCCAGCTCCCGCCGACCCCCCGACTAGCTGCCAGGTCTTCATCCCCCTCCCCCAGCTTGAGGGCTTTTCCCAGGCAGGGGTCAGTCAGGCGGGGAAGCGGGAGCGACTAGCCTTGCATGCTAAGCGGGCGCGACGGCCAGCATCGACTGTTCGACTGTTCTTACTATTAGAAAGACATGTTTAACTTTTTTCTTTTTTGAACTTTCCATTTTTAAATATTTCAGACTTAGACAAAAGGTCCAAAAAATGGTATGAATTCCCCTAAACCCTTCACCCAGATTCCTCAAATGCTGCGTTTCGTTTCCCATTTGCTTTATTGCTCTTTCTCTCTCTCCCCCCCACCCATTAGTACTGTCATTGTCATTGCTGTTTGGGGGACCGTTTGGGAGGCTTCCAGAGACAGTAATGACATAATCATAGTGTAGTGATCAAAATCAGGAAATTAGTGTGATGCAATCCTTTTATCCAGTTTACAGATCTTGTTCAGATTCTGCCAGCAGTCCCACTAATGTCCTTTTAACTGGTGGCTGGGGAGTGGGGAGGTGGTGCACCTTCTGTCCTTTACACGCAGTGAATCACATGGTCTGTTCCGGGCTTTTGACCAATAAAGCCAGGTGCTGCCCTCTGCCATGTCGCCCACTCTCCCCGTGACAATCTCCACAGCAGGAACAGGGGTCAGAAAGAGAGAGAGAAAGGTCAGCGTTTCTCAGGCTCGTTCACCACAAAGGCCAGACAGAAGGTGTGCTAGATAGATGTGACTCCTAACTTGACCAGCAACTTTAATTAGCACAGCTGAACAGGCCTTTCTCAGTTACATCATGGATAAAAGTGTGGTGTTCATCAACATCACCATGGACACTCATCCCTGGCCTCCATTACCAAGAAGATATTAATACACAGGATGAGGGATGATGAGACAGAGCAACAGGAGCAAAGATGCTTCACAGGTGACTGGGGAAGTGGTGGCCCTGAGCTGGGCGACTGCAGTGCAGAGACAGAGACCGCAGTTAGACAGGGAGGTAGGCATGGGAGTCACCGCAGGGGTGTCACTCAGAAGGAAAATCCCAATTCGGTGAACTCACAGCCTAGTGGGTCTTTCCCATAAACGGCAGCACGCCCCTGAAGAGTCTGCACCCTGAACTGTATCCATTGACCTGGACTTCCTATGGCCTTGGGCAAAGCTCATACACTTCACATATTTTTACAGGGAAGACACAATGACCAGACGACCGTGTCACTCCCGCCACAAAGCACAAGCCTGCGGTGCTCACCGGGCTGGCCGCCTTGCTTCGCCAGCTTCACGTACTCTGAGTCCGTTTCCTTCACCCAGTACCTTCGTGCCCCGAGCGTGTGCCCATTGGGGGCTTCCCTCAGGTCACTGAGGCCTGGGATCTGGGACGCTGGCGGGGCATCCACAGCTTTCTCAGACTGCTTCACAGGAAGGTTGTAATACCAATCTAGGGAAGAGGAGGTCAAGGGTCAGGTCATTACTTACAGAATCCAGGCTGGTTTGGTACACTGCCCAGAAGATAACTACACCAGGGAGGGTGTCACACCCTCACAGGACACCAGCAGAGGACATCAACACGGGGCACCGGCACAGGTGAAACTGCCCTCTGGTAAACGCCTGTTACCCGAGGCATAACCCTGCCAGTTGTGTAGTTAACAGTCCCTAAAGGCCACGAGCAGCAGCCACGGCACCCAGCAGATGACAAGCACCTTCTAGGCGGCCTGCTGGCCTCTCTGCTACTGGCTGCCCCTCTGTCCCAAAGCAGTGAGAGCAGAGCCCTTCCCTGGGGTTTTTAGCCTCCCAGTGAGGTATCCAAATCCCCTAAGTGTGCAGCTCTCTCTCTCTTCTCCTTCAGTCCTCCATGAATTGGGACTAGACTGCATTTCTGGGAGTACACATTCCTGAAAGATCCCAAAGCACTTAAAATGGGGGCAAGCCTCTGGACTATGTGACCAAATGTTAGCCAAGATTTGATCAACTTAGAACTTTAAAAACACTGATATATCTTGATAAAAACTCTTACCAAAGTGGGCACAGAGGGACCATATCTCAACATAATAAAAGCTATTTATGACAAACCCACAACCAGCATGATACTCAATGGTAAAAAGCTGAAAGCCTTCCCACTAAAATCTGGAACAAGATAAGGATGCTCACTCTCACCACTTCTATTCAACATAGTATTAGAAGTCCTAGCCACAGCAATCAGACAAGAAAAATAAATTAAAATTTTTCAAATTGGTAGGGAAGAGGTAAAATTGTCATTATATGCAGATGACCTGATACTATATATAGAATACCCTAAAGACTCCAACAAAAACTACTAGAACTGATAAATGAATTCAACCAGGTAGCAGGATATAAGATTACAGAAATCTGTTGCATTTCTTTACAGTAACAATGAAATATCAGAAAGGGAAAGTTTAAAAAAAAATCCCTTTTAAAATCACATCCAAAAGAAAAAAAAAAAAACTTAGGAATAAACCTGACCAAGGAGGTAAAAGACTTATATGCTGAGAAATATAAAACATTGATAAAGAAAACTGAAGATGATTCAAAGAAATGGAAAGATATCCCATGCTCTTGGGTTGGAAGAATTAATACAGTAAGTTCCCTACATACAAACCTTTAAGTTGCAAATTTTCAAAGATGTGAACACGCATCTGGTTCCAGCAAGGAACCAGAACCTGTGCCATCAACATCAGGCGTGAATGAAATGGCAGCTTGCCCTCCAACTCCTATTGCTCATGATCCTTCAGCTCTACCATCTCCCACCTCCGCTCCATCCTCCAGTCAGTAATTCTTCTTGCCTGTTCACTGGATGCCAGCCCCTGGATGCCAGCTGTTGTACTGTACTTTTCAAGGTACTGTACTGTATGATTAAAAATATTTTCTTTATTTTTTGTTTGTTTTTTATGTATTATTTGTGTTAAAAGTATTATAAACCTATTACAATACAGTACTATATAGCCAATTGTGTTATTTGGGTATGTAGGCGAACTTTGTTGGACTTATGAACAAATTGGACCCTCAGAATGGAACTTGTTTGTATGTAGGGGACTTATTGTATTGTTAAAATGGCCATACTACCCAAATCAATCTACAGCTTTAACATGATGCCTATCAAATTACCCATGATATTTTTCACAGAACTAGAACAAATAATCCTAAAATTTATATGGGACCACAAAAGACCCAGAATTGCCAAAGCAATCCTGAGGAAAAAGAAAAAGCTGGAGACATAACTGTTACAGACTTCAGACAAAACTACAAAGCTACAGTAATCAAAACAGTGTGGTATTGGCACAAAAACAAACCTACATATCAGTGGAACAGAATAAAGAGCCCAGAAATAAACCCACACACCTAGGGTCAATTAATCTGTGACAAAGGAGGCAAGAATATATAATGAGAAAAAGACAGTCTCTTTAGCAAGTGGTGTTGGGAAAGTTGGACAGCCACATGTAAATCAATGAAGTTAGAACACTCCCTCTCTCACACACAAAAATAAACTCAAAATGGCTTAAAGACTTAAATATAAGACATGATGCCATAAAACTCCTAGAAGAGAACATAGGCAAAACATTCTCTGACATAAATCGTAGCAACATTTTCTTAGGTCAGTCTCCCAAGGCAATAGAAATAAAAGCAAAAATAAACAAGCGGGACCTAATCAAACTTATAAGCTTTTGCATAGAAAAGGAAATCTAAGCAAAACAAAAAGACAACCTATGGACTGGGAGAAAATATTTGCAAACTATGTGATGGACAAGGGCTTAATGTCCAAAATATATAAACAGCTCATACAACTCAATAACAAAAAACTAAACAATCCAATCAAAAAATGGGCAGAAAACCTAAATAAACATTTACGTTTAATAAACATTTAGAAGACATACAGGTGGCCAATAGGCAAATGAAAAGATGCTCAACATCACTAATTATTAGAGAATTCAAATCAAAACTACAATGAGTTATCACCTCACAACAGTCAGAATAGCCATCATCAAAAAGTTTACAAATAATAAAAGCTGGGGACTGCCCTCATGGTTAAGAATCCACCTGCCAGTGCAGGGGACACGGGTTCGAGCCCTGGTCCAGGAAGATCCCACAACTAAGCTCATGTGCCACAACTATTAAGCCAGTGCTCTAGAGCCCACAAGCCACAACTACTGAGCCCTCATGCCACAACTACTGAAGCCACGCTCCGCAACGAGAAGCCACTGCAATGAGAAGCCCATGCACCACAACGAAGAGTAGCCTCTGCTCACCGCAACTAGAGAAAGCCCACGCACAGCAACAAAGACCCAATGCAGCCAAAAATTAATTAATTAATTAATTTAAAAAATAATAAATGCTGGAGAGGGTGTGGAGAAAAGGGAACCCATCTACACTGTTGGTGGGAATGTATATTGGTGTAGCCACTATGGAGAACACTATGGAGTTTCCTTAAAAGAATTAAAATAGAGCTACCATATGATCCTGCAATCCCACTCTTGGGCATGTATCTGGAAAAGATGAAAACTCTAATTCAAAAAGATACAGGCACCCCTATGTTCATAAGCAGCGCTATTTACAATAGCCAGGACATGGAAGCAAACTAAATGCCCATCAACAGATGAATGGATAAAGAAGATGTGCTACATATATACAATGGAATATTACTCAGCCATAAAAAAAGAATGAAATAATGCCATTTGCAGCAACATGGATGGACCTAGAGATTATCATACTAAGTGAAGTAAGTCAGAGTCAGACAGAGAAAGACAAATACCACATGTCACTTATATGTGGAATCTAAAAAAATGATACAAATGTGCTTATTTACAAAACAGAAATAGACTCACAAACACAGAAAACAAACTTATGGTTACCAAAGAGGAAAGGTGGGTAGGAGGGATAAATTAGGAGGTTGAGATTCACATATTTACATTACTATATATAAAATAGATAATCTATAATGACCTACTGTACAGCATAGGGAACTCTACTCAATATCTACTTATAATGGAAACGAATATGAAAAAGAATAGATATATATGTATAAATGAATCACTTTGCTGTACACCAGAAACTAACACAATATTGTGGATCAACTATACTTCAGTTGGAAAAACAAACAAACAAACACTGACACAGAAGTAAGAGCCTAACTGAACAGGTTTGCTAATTTGACAGGAGCAGAAAGATGCAGGACTGCGTGCCCGCCATCAGGGAGGCTTCACTGGCAAACAATGTTATCTGAACCCCACCGCTTTCCTTTTGCTGGAGGCCAAAGCGGGACATCCCGAGTTGTCAGACAGGAAAGGAGAGCAGCACTCAGGAGGGTGTCTGAACAGGGCGGGGCGGGGCGGGGGGGGGGGCGGGGCGTCGAGGCTTTGTCCCGGGCATCCTCATGCTGTGGGAAGCATCTCGGGCCGCAGATTGGCAGGGGTGGGCTGCGTGTGGCTTCCATTGAAACATCAAGTCTGGTCCCACAAGGGTGAAGCGCAGTGATTGTAGATAAAGGTGTGGGATTTCTAGAGGAGAGGGTCCCATGAAGAGGAGGGTGGGAGGACAAACGGGGTTGGTGAATGAAGGCCAGCTTGCTCCCTGCCCTCCCTCCCCATCGATCTGAACCCCCCGCCCCACCCAGAGTGGCCACGGGAGGGGGGTGAGCTGAACTGGCCTTGTCAGAGCCCTGAGGCCCCCTCAGTGGGCACCCAAGTCACAGCCCTGCAGGCTGCTTTGTGACCACCTGTGAGGGTCCCTGCCAGGAGCGAGAGGTGTGGGCAGAAGCCCAGGAACCTGTAGTGATCAGGCCCACTTATGGCTCCACAGAGAGAAGACCCTGGGACACTCGGGATCTTGGTGTTCTGGTGACTCTTTGCGTCAGAAACTGATTAACCGCATGTCCAAATATAAGAACAAATATCACAGCTGATTGAAAACTTTGGACACAAAATCCAGGAGTGTGAAATAAGAAAGATGCCACTATCGTAGCACAAGTAACTCTTGCATTTAAGAGTTTACTGGAACCAGCTGTCAAAAATGCATGGTGTTCAGGGAATTCCCTGGCAGTCCAGTGGTTAGGACTCTGAACTCTCATTGACGAGGGCCCAGGTTCAATCCCTGGTCAGGGAACTAAAATCCCACAAGCTATGCATCGTGGCCAAAAAAAAAAAAGCATGGCGTTCAGGGTCTAACATAGGACTGGCTCCTGGCAGATGTGATGGGTAATTTTATGTGTCACCTTAGCTAGGCCACAGTTCCCAGATGTTTAGTCTGGCACGTTACTGTGAAGGTGCTTTTTAGAGGAGATTAACAGTCAAATCAATAGACTCTGACTAAAGCAGATAAGTCTCCCCAACATCGGTGGGCCTGATGCCAGCAGTTCAAGGATTTAGGAGAAAAGGCTGAGGTCTCCTGAGGAGGAAGGAATTCGGCCCCCAGACAGCCTTTGGACTCAGGACTGCAGCATCAGCCCTTCCCTGGGTCTCCGGCCTGCAGATTTTGGACCTGCCTGCTACACAACTGTGTGAGCCAATTCCTTAAAATAAATCAATCTCCCAGTCAGTCTCCCTCCCTCCTTCCCTCTCTCTCTCTACACACACACACTCACACACACACACGCACAGACACACACACACGCACAACATTGGGCTATGGAGAACCCTGACTGGTACAGTAGGAGCACAGGAAAACGACGCTGAATAGATCCCTTTACACAAGCACACATGGATCCCAGGAACAAGAAGTCCCTGTCCTCTGAAGCTAAAAGTTAGCCACCCAATCTGTACTTGGAACTAAAGCTACTTCATTGCATAACAATGAATGTTCATGGGAAATCTTTTAAATATCTAAAGAACAGTAATTAGATGAACAGTATAGTGGAAACACTATAGTTTTGAAAGGGAGAAACGCCGCCCCCCACCCCCACCCCGGGAAAGCTTTAAAGAAGTGTGCCCGAGCTCACAGAGAATTAATTTAAGAGCTAGGAGGATGGTTAGGACCATCTTATCTGATTGTATTCAGCTCAAATATTTTCCTTTAAAGGGAAGGCATTCGGTTCCAGCTTTATTTTTCCTCTCTGTGTTTTGATTACTAATTAATTCACAGAGAACAGAGTAGCTTCTACTCATCACTGGAAGCTTTGGGCAGGCACTGAGCTCTAACCTAGCTGGCTGTTTATCACTGCGTGCCCTGCTCAGAGAGCCAGCACATGAGTCACTGTGAACCAACTCTCACCACACACACACACACACACACACACACACACACACACACACACAGGGTTAAAGGAATGAGAATTGTCTTCTCCTCAAACATTATCAGTACTTGTATGGCACCAGATCACTTAACTACCACGTAGATTTCTTTACGAGCTCCCTTGCCCCCTCCCTTGCTTTATCCATAAGGAGCCAGGCTCAGAGAGACGGCAAGGTGACTCAGCCCCACAGCTCTCTGGTGTCTGAGGGCACATCCCATGGGGCTCTGGAGCCCTGCCTTTGGGCCGCCGTGGCCTTGGAGAACAGGGAAGCCTCCTGAAACTCTGAGCCTCGGCTTCCTCACCTATAAACCAGGGCTAAGGACCCTTTGGCAGGTTGTTCTGAAGTTCAGTGTTAGTGTGACAGTGTTTAGCAGAGTACCTGGCAAGTGTCGCCGTCTTCTGCACTGCTCACACGGGGAGGCCACACACTAAGGCAGAGACGTCAGACCCAGGCTGAGAGCCCACCATGGAGATGGGGACCCAGGCCTCCTGTCCCCTGCCCCATTCCCAGCACAGCCACGGACCCACCCATAGTGGCCACAGCAGAGCTCCAGGCAAGAAGCACGTTGAGACTGTGAAGAAGACCACGCTTGGTCCCACTGCCTGCAGCCCCCCTGCCAGCCCTCACCCTGCCTCTCCCAGCAGAGCTCTGGGGCTCTCTTCTCCTCCCTCCTTCTCCAGCCCTTCTCGAGATGGGGCAGCGTAAAAATCAAGGCAAAATCAGACTCCAGCACCCAGGTCTTCCTCCTTCCCTTCTGCCAGCTTCACAGTGAGAAGCCCACTGCCGTGGGAGCCTCCATCAGAGGCTTGTTTCCTGTGTCCCACTGCTTAAAGCAGGAGACATAGTTACCCTGGTTGGGGTCTAAATTAGGAGCAAGAGATAGGTGATCAATGAAATACATGGGGATGCAGCTGAAAATGAAAGTGCCCAAGCCAACATACAGGGAGACCCCTGTGAGACTTACACAGGGTTGCTGTTACAGAGAAATTTTCAGAGACGCTATCGCTCCAAAAACTGAGGAGCTCCAACAGCAGTGGGTAGCCTGGCTTTCTTGAATATAGGGAAAAAACAAACAAGCAAACTAACAAGCCTAGTTCCCCGCCCCCCATGCTACCCTTTAAGCCTTGCTTCCACACTGAGGCATAGAGGCAGTGTGCAGCTTTCTCTGAGGGTACCCCGTGTTGTCCTGTCCCCTCCCGGCAGCCCCCGCTGGTGTGAGCCAGTCCAGCCGCAGAGCAAACGCGGGTTTCCTCTCCTTGGGTCACTCACCGCAGGGAGCATAGCGGCTCGTGGCGCCGTGCAGCTCCTTGCTCGTGTTGCTCATGCCGGGAGACACGGTGGACCGGCTGTTGTCTGTTCTCGGCTGAACCAGGAACCGACGCGGGGGGTGAGCTGCAGAGGCCGGGTCCCCGTTCCTGCTCTGTCTGTCCTCCTCCACCTGACAGGTATGCAGGCGTCTCACTATTCGGGACATGCGGTCAAGTCCAGGCAGAGTATATACATCAGGGGCACATCCACACGGGTATACAGCAGGGACACGTCCAGGCAGGGTTTACAGCAGGGGCACACACACGCCGAGTAGACAGCAGGGGACAGCAGGTCCCGAGGGACCCCGCCCCCACCCCGGCCCGGGTGACGGGTGGCCCCCTCCCTGCCCCGACCCCACTGGCCGTCTGACCCCGCTCACCTGCCGGCCTAGGGTCTGGGTGATTGCTACCTGCAGCGTCCGAGGCCACTCTGTTCCAGCGGGCGGCTGGGACCAACCCCAAACTCCCAGCGCGGCGCGGAACCACAGCAACCCGCGTCGCCGGGGCAACGGCCTGGGCCAACCGGCGGTCACAGTGGAAGCAGCGGCAGCCAATCGGGGCAGTGTGAGGGGCCGCAGCCGGCCAATCAGATCCAGGGGCAGAACGCGGGCTCCTACTATCAACTGTCCGGCGCCGGGGCGTTGCCTCGGTGCTGGCCTGGGCGTGGCCGCGCTGCTGGCCTGGCGAGGCCTCAGGGCATGGCGGGGACGTGACTGCGCTGCTGACAGAGGCGTTGCCTCGGTGCTGGCCTGGGCGAGGCATGGGGCGTGCTGGGGGCGAGGCCGGCCTCAGAGTTCTGGTGCGCCCTCCCCTCCCTGCCGTACAAGAAATTCGACAGAGATTTTCTTGTCAATCTCCCATTCATTTAATGCATTAAAAAAAAGAGGACAGGGCTTCCCTGGTGGCGCAGTGGTTAAGAAGCCATCTGCCAATGCAGGGGACACGGGTTCGAACCCTGGTCCGGGAAGATCCCACATGCCGCGGAGCAACTAAGCCCATGCGTCACAACTACTGAGCCTGCGCGCTACAGCCCGCGAGCTACAACTACTGACGTCCGCATGCCTAGAGCCCCTGGTCCACAACAAGAGAAGCCACTGCAATGAGAAGCCCATGCAACCCAATGAAGAGTAGCCCTGCTGTCTGTAACTAGAGAAAGCCCACGCTGCAACTAGAGAAAGACCATGCGCAGCAACGAAAACCCAACGCAGCCAAAAATAAATATTAATTAATTATTTTTAAAAAAGGACAAATAAGTACCTGGGAAAACTCAGCACGCAGCCGTTTCTGCAAACTGTGTATCAGTAGTAAAATTACCATGTAAACGTCTTCCACACTATTTTTTCAGTATTTCTGGTTTGGAAATTGAGATTCTTTTAAAAAAAGTCTTTGGCAGTGTTTCCTCGGAACAGTGTTCAAAGTCCCAACGCTTGACTTCAGTGCGAACTTTTGTCCCACCTGGATTCGGTCTCTATTGTGAGTCGTCCTCCCCACTCTGCTCCGTGAGCCCAGAGGCCGCAGCAGGGTCCACGACCTGGTCATACGGACAGAATGATGGAGAGGACTAGCCGCTGGAGACCCTGTGGTTCCCACCACCCGGGCAGTAGTATGGAGCTAAGGTTTTCCTTAGCAGTAAAAAGAAAAATCAAGATGTCTTTAAAGGTGGTCATTTGGTAACTTTAATTAAACAAGGTGCTGCTTCTGCTACACAAGTAAAGCCCTAGAAATCTAGCAGAAGACAGGTGATGTACGAATTGGGTAACGAGAGGATAACTCTTGTGATGGGAATTAACCCTAACTGAGGTTTATCCATCTCTCATGTAATATTTTCAGGATCCTCAGCTGGCCCCGTCTTGAAAGTAATCAAGACTTTGTTTTTCAACGTCAAATGTTTGTTCCACTGCAGGTAGAGGCATGTAGACTGTCACTAAGAATAACAGGGCTTCCTTTTGTATAAGTCACAGCATTGTTTGCCCAGGGATTAGGGTTAGTGAGAGGATGGCGTCTGGGAACCAGGAGTAGGTTCTCACCAGACCTGCTGCAGCCTCCAGAACTGGGAGAAGTGCATTCCTGTTGTTCATAAGTCACCCAGTCTGTGGCCTTCATCGTGGCCTAAGACAAAGGCTTTGCATCATGTTTAGGATTTCAGGAGGAACTGGCTTTTAGAACTATGTTTGGATCATTCATCTGAACCAGAAGTTCCCATAACTTTCACGGCTTTGAAACTGCTGCACCTGGAGACTAACAGTTACGACTGCTTGGATAAGTGGTCCCGCACACCTTCTTTACTTGCCTTCCAAGACCTGGGACTCTGCTGTTTTCACTCTAACTCGCAAGCGAATTCTGCAAGCTAGTCTTCATTGCTGGATCCTACATTTCTTCCTGGCATCTATATTTTGGAGTGCCATAGATCTCAGTCTTTGGACACCTATCTCTGTGTGCTATCCATACTCACTGGTTATTCAGTCTCCTCCAGCCCTCCCGCCATATGAGATGACTCCCAAATTTTTACTTCCAGCCTCAACACTCCCCAACTTTTAGCAGGGATGGCATATTTCTCTTGCTCCTGGCTCAGCTGGGAACAGCTAGTAACTGGGCTGGGAAGGTCCTGAAAAGAAAGGGTCTCAGAGGGCACAGCCAAGCAGGGCTGGGGAAGAGAAATGTTAATATAGATTATGGCCAATCCAAATTCCTTCTGAACCAAAGAAACTGTAATCTTAAATAAAATAGACAAATTATAAAAGCAGGGTTGAGTTTATTTGGGAATAGCAGAGGAATTGCAATCTGGGACAAACAAGCTATTGTCGACCCGGAAAAAAAAAAAAAGCACAACCTAAAAGTCAAAATTTATGTTTTATTCAGTGGACTTGCTGAGGACTTAAGCCGAGAAGACAGCCTCTCAGATCGCTCTGAGGGACTGCTCCAAAAAAGGTAAGGGGGGATCCAGAATATGTAGGAGTTTTTGCAACAAAGACCAGGTAGTCAGAACATAGAAAGATTACTGTTAATTAAAGAAAACCAGATATCTCAGGTTAATGAATTTAGCGCTTTTGTATGTACGGGAGGATACAAGAGTCTGGGCTCCCTGAAATCATTCCTTTGATGTGCACCTCAGCTATCTAGGGCCAGTGTCCAGATTTTCTCCGTTCTGGATCCCCTCAGGGTGCACAGTGCATGAGACTGCAGTGGCTGATGGCTTTTGAGGGCCACGTGTCCTGTTTACTAACATGGCAGGAGACATTCTTTGTCCACACTGTGGTGAACCATAGGCAAGTCCAAAGAGACAAAGGGAAGGTCAGTTTTTATTAGGTTTTGGGCGGAAATTGGGGAGGGTTGTTTTGAATAAAAGTTAATTAGTAAAGAACAAGAGTTCCAGGTTGTGGCAGTTTCTTGTTGGCTGAAAGTTGTGGTTAGTGCATTGTTACTGGGGTGGGGAGGGATCTTCCCTCCCTTAAAATCAGGAGAAGAAATTCCCATGTTGAAGAATGCCCTCCTTGTGCCAGAAGAAAAGTAACATTCTTATTATCATGGATAAGAAGTTGAGACCAAGACAATTCTACACTAACAGACCTTGTTACAGCAATTCTTACCTCCCTCTTTCCTCCCGGCACCTTCATGAGAGCTCCCCATTCAGGAGCTTTCTGATTCCATTTAAAATGAGGTTTTCCTGATTTGTTTTCATAGAAGAAAGGAAACCCAGTTGCAGGTAGGAGGCTGAAAGGTCTGTGTCACAATACTGCTTTTAAAAATATGTTGGGGGCGCTTCCCTGGTGGCGCAGTGGTTGTGAGACCGCCTGCCAATGCAGGGTACACGGGTTCGTGCTCCGGTCTGGGAAGATCCCACATGCCGCGGAGCGGCTGGGCCCGTAAGCGATGGCCACTGAGCCTGCGCGTCCGGAGCCCGTGCTCCGCAACGGGATAGGCCGCAACAGTGAGAGGCCCGCGTACTGGAAAAAAATATATATATATATTTATATATATATGTGTATAGGCACTGATCTGGGAGACAGGGTCTCAGTTTTACCACTATAGGCTGTTTGGACTTGGACAAGTCACTTAATTTCTCTGAGCCTCAGTTATAAAATAAATGGACTCTTCCCAGTTCTGTGAAAAGCATGGGCTGTATCAGGAAATTATACAGAGGCCCAGGAAAGAAATGTGGTGATGCTGGAAAAAAATATATATATATATATATATATATATATATATATATATATATATATATATATGTTGGGGTCTTCTGAAAATTATCAGATTTGGGGTTGTGGTTTCAAGTACCTCCTTATTCCAAATTTATAACAATAGACAAAATAAAATAGAAAAAATTTAACAAGTCTGGAAGTCATGGGGTGCCAGTAAACACAGAAGATCAGAGATGGGAGTGAAACTAGGAAACTCCCCACTCAAAATAAGTCTGCCATCCAAAACTCTAAGTCACTCAGGAAACAGGCCATGGAAAGATGTTGACTCATCAGGAAATGAATGGTCTCCAGACAGATTTTATTTTTAATCCAGTTGTTTGAAAAGGGTTTTAAAATGAGTACACACTTAAAGAAATAAGTATACACTTAAAGACATAAATGAAAGAATGATAATGATTTAAAAAATAAATTTCCAAGCAAAAGAAACAAAGCAAAAACAAGTCAACAAAACATAAAAAGCAGAACCCAGGAGAATTTGGGTCTTAATCATGTGGGAAAAAGAAAACTCAAACTCACTCATCAGAATGCAAAAGGAAACTATCCTGAGGTACAGTTTTTTAAAAGCTATTCAACTGGCAAAGATAAAAAGGTTGGTAAAACACCATATTGGTGAACAGGAGCAAATCTCATAAATTCCTAGTGGAAACTTAACTGGTAGAGTCTCCGCAGGGGACAAAGGCAACATTTAACAAAATTACAAACACACAGAGACTTTGACCTAGCAGTTCTTCCTCTGGCTGTGCGTTCTTGCAGATGTACTCGTACACTCAGAATAACTTCAGCATGTGCTGATTTATTGAACACTGTTTTCAGTATAA